GCCCCCCCCCGCCCCCCGCCTCTCCCCCGAAGTGTTCACTCCCCTGCAGGCGGGGGGCCATAGAAACCGCCCCCTCCCGCTCTGCTACAGGACAGGAGGCGGCGGGGAGCGAGGAGGCAGCCATGAGGACACGAACCCAGGTTCAGGACGAGGACCCAGAGCCTCACCTGTTGAGTTTCTCGTTCTGGGAGTGGGCGCCATCATCGGCTGAGCCCACAGGCAGCAGCATAACATTCTTCCCTGTGGCTTCCTGAAAGGTCAAAGTCACGGGAATACTGCCACCTTCCCTGGTCAAGTCCGGCTCGACACCAAACACTGGGGGAGAACAGAAGGAGAGATGGTGAGGCTGGGCGCCCACTGCAGATGCAGGGTCCGGACCCTGTGTGCGGCCTGCAGCCGGCCGCCCCGCTCTCAAGGTCGGCTGGTGGCAGGGCCCTGCCCACACACGGCCTCCCCTCGGGGCCCTTGCTTGCGTCCCCAGAGAGAAGTCTGACCTGTTTTCAGGGCTCTTCTCCCAGCCATGTAATGAGGGTGATTGAAGTCCGACACCCAGGGTTTCCCACCGTGGCCCATGTATACCTTGAACTTGTTGGGGCTGTGCAGTTCAGCAAATTTCTTCGTCAGGTAGCTCGTAACCTGAACCACAAATGAGAGACACAATGTATTATTAGCCTGGCATCTGATCCGGTGCTAGAGATTTACTCTACAGTGGTCCACAGCGAGTCTACGATGGGCCGATGACAAGCCTACAGAGGTCCACAGCTAGTCTACATAAGCCTAGCACACGTCTACAGTGCTAGAGCCTGCAGACTCTACTAGTCTACGAAGAGCCTCCGTGGGTCTCATTTTCTGCTGCTAAATGCTGAGCATAACTGCGATAACAAAAAATGGATTTTATCAAGAAACATAACCCAGCCATTTGAAGGTAAAAGGTAAGCTTTAATTTCAAGCAATTCACCCTTTAAATAGATGTTCCCACATGATAACACTTCAATCAAGGCTTTACGAAGTCTCTGGGTTTGCTTTATGATAATAATCACATCTAGACCAAAAGTGGAGACTGCGGAACACCCGACGGCAATCTCAGTCCTCAGTTACCTGCAGGAAATCTTCCTGGATGAGGTGGGGCCACTACTCCCCAAATCTGCCCCCCTCTGGAATTCTCCCCTTCCAGAATCTTGCCCTTCCGCTCCTCACCACAGCCCAGACACAGCTCCTGCGGATTCCTCACCCAACATACTCGGCCCAGTCAGCATCGGATCTGAAGCCTTAGGATGAGGTCAGAGGTCAGGTTTTAGCATGCCTCAGCAGTGACAAAGGTCACATGTGATGCTTTTTATATGGCCTTTAATCTTTCATCAGTTTCTGAACTGCTCATTCAGTAATTACAGAGTCGGCAAGAGTCAAGAAGCAGGAAGTGCGGGTCTGGAGTTTGTATCTTCAGCTGCTCAGCACCCTACTGGGAATCTTCACCCCCGGGGTCTCCGCGGAGACAGAAGCCCCCCTCCCGGCGTCCCAGCTCCCTCACATGCCTGCTCGCTCACAACTTCAGGAGTCATGTTCGGCACGAGCCTGATGGAGAACTTGCCCACCACTTTCCTAGGGATCACAGTCTTGGCCCCCGACCCAGAAAAGGCGCCTTCAATCCCGTGGAGGGAGAGGGACGGGTACCGCCATCTGTGCATCAGGATGTCTTTCTGCAAAAACAGCAAAGTGGGGCAGGTGACCGCACTGCCTACTTACGAAGGAAACGCCAATGTCATCTGGAAGTCGCCCGTAGTCACCGGCCAGCCTGGGG